TAAAGTGTGAATTTGCACATATCAAACAGTCATCCTCATGTATGTATCTTGTAACGCAGTGCTTTGATGAAAATAGAATACATAAATAGACCGCTATATTTTACAGCTACAGTTTATTTATCATCTGGTGTAATAACCAAAATATAAAGGAGACCATGGTAAATTGCCCTTTTGGAATTAGATAAAATCATGAAGTCGTCGTCAACGCCGCAAGCCACCAAAACAAACTTCATATTTTACAATGTAATAAGAAGTTAACTTGCAGTTTAAGTCGATGGAATTAGTCAGATGTGTAAATATCTCTAGGCTGTGTCACCCCGGTGATGTTTACGTGATTTGGTGGTTTGTTCCTTAACGTTAAGATTACTGTAAATATTGTTTTGTACAGAAAGTCCTTGTAATAGTAAAGTTAAATACTTAAGGCTCTGTTTTTTTACAATAAGTAAGAGTGTTTTTTTTTTTTTTTTTTTTTTTTTTTTTACTTGAACGTAGTTAATTCGTAAGTATAAGGCTTACAAATCTAATTTTCATGTGAATTAAATTTAGAACTAGTCAAAGGCCAAAATGATTTTAGTTGGTCATATGACCCAAGCATTGATTTTCAAGTACCATTAACATGGATTGAAATGTTGTAGTATTTCATTCCGTAACTTGGTTTTTATGTTAAGATTATAATTTTAACCATCAATATATACAAAAGTAGATGACAAAAGAGTTATAATCATGCATATTATAAGTATCCTTTAGTCCAATGAATAGACTATCTGTCCTAGATATTATGTTCAATTATTATGTTGAAATAATATTCTTTATTTTAGTAAGGTTCCATTCACAGTATATTACAAAAGGCTGAATATATACTTCTGTTTTTAATATAATGTTTAAATGTGTAATGTTTTTTATCCATGTGTGCCCTTCAATTTTCCTTTGAAATGGGTAACGCTTTTTTTACCAAGCCTCCTCAACAACAATTGAAATTGTCAACAGATTTAGTGCAAATGCAGGATAATAAATTCAAAATAAATCATTCATGGTGATAGTATGATTAATAATTGTGCAAAAAATGCATAAATAATGTTAGGTCATAATTGTCCATGAAATAAACAGCTGCCCCAGTGATATCATAATTGTACGTGTTCAAATAATATTTAAACTAATAGAAAACATTGTTCAGTATATTGAAATTTTACAAATCGTGTAACAGTATCGTTGTGTTCTTTATCTGTGTTTTTTCCCCTTTTGTTATAATCCACATACATAATTTAAATACTCTACTAAAACGATGAACAAACTAACCTAATGCCTTTTATACATTCTTTCATTGACAAAGTCAACAAATTATATTAAATAAATTTCACGCCACCATTTCAATTTCGGTCAAATCAAATTAAGTCACTGAATGGACTCTTAAGAGCAACATCTACCCTAGATATTAACTATATGACATACTCTTTAATTAATTGTAGGCTGCCTACAAATACTTTGTTTACCTTGGTTATTTTTAAAGGAATTTGCTGATAATGGACCAAAATTAGCATGCATATTCAAACAATTCTAATGAACACATTACGTCTTTGTATATTAATTAAGTTTAGAATCTGTTTGGGTTGACAGTTCAAGTTTTGGTTACTTTTTACCATCAACTTACCCCAAAGGCATGCATTACATTATGAAGAAGCAATTACATTTTAAGATGATGCTAAAAGAAATCAAGCATTTCACAGTAGTTGTTCTAAATAATATATAATTGAGATATGTAATTCAAATTCATCAGATTATATTCAATATAATTTATTAATGACAAAACCTTTACAATAACCTTGAAAAATTAAGGAAACTTGTACTATAAAACCAAAATCATTGAAATAAGTCGAATATATTAGATAATATCCAGTGTATTAACTATGTAAGCAGATTACTCTGCAGCACTCACCATCTCCGGGTGTTAGGGGATGTTTTCGACACTAGACCTCACAGTGTCTAATACTAGCGGAGACTCAACAGAATGGCAGTCGAGGTTGTGTTGTAATCCGTCAAAACAAGCCTCAACCATGTAAGTGTTTCGACATCGCGAACAACATATTCGTAAATGTAACCTGGAAAAATAGTGTCCATTTCCGAGTATCCGATGAATAAATAAAACCTGTTTGCGTGAATGAACTTAGAATGGAAATGATTTTTTTTAGTGTGAACAAGATATAGTTTCCAAATTTGAGCTGAATTAAACATGATTTTCTGCGATTATGTGTGATAAATGAAAGCCGTTTACTCATACGAACTGAATAAATACAAAAAGTAATGTAGGTGTATGAGTGGGGAAATTGAAATGGTTACCTCGTTACAATGATGAAAAAAAAACAAGTATATATAAATAAAATTAGATTTTTGTCCGTACATTGCTCAGAATATTAACTAAACATAAAATTATTTTTTAAGTCTGAACTATATAAAACACAGATGTATGAACAAGTTAATAAAGGATATTTCTGATTATGTGTAGGAATAAAAAAATATGTAAACTGAATGAGCAAAAGTAATTTTGAGGGATAACTGTAGGCATAATATGCCTATATTATGTAAAAAATACATAAAAATATGAATCAGACTAGTTAAAATCACTATTTTCTTTTAACTTCGCTTCTTACTTCAGTGAATAGTAAAGGCAAGAAAAAGGGTGAACACAATATAGTATTTATTTTCAATAATTAAATGATTGAAGGAGTATATTAATCAATTCTTGTAAATCAATAATTTAATTTAAAAATGAATACATAACTAATTCCAAAACGCATATCTAAATAACTTAACAAATATCAAATAGCTAATAACATTGACCGATCAATGATCCAAAGTTTCATCATGACGTTTAATTTACACATGTAAACCATCAAAATCAGGTTTAAATATTTGCAAATGTTAAATTATAATCATTGCGTGTATTGCTTTTTTCTAGGGATTAGTCATTGATCCAACCGTCCAAGTATTCTTTCCAAGTTTTTCTACAGATGAAATGCTTAACTCAATTATTAATTTGTATATCAAATTATAAACTACGAAACGCTAACTTACAAGGATTGGAGTCCAGTTGAGCTAAAAGATTCAACTTTCACTTCTAAAGCTATCATTGTTGACTCGGCTATTTACGGAAGTCGCTAATAACCCTATTAGTAGTTGGAATTTCCCTCGGAACTTGAACTACAGTAACCCTTTATAGTTAATGTATCACTTAACAAACGTTATCTACAACTGTAAACGAAGGAATCTGGAATTTCTCTTACAATCTACATACATTTTGGAGTAGGCCTATCGATAAATTCAAGAATCAGGATAGGCTGTTAAAAATATCTGGATGAAGAAATATTCCTCACTCCTGCGCGACCATCAGCTTGAGCTCGAGCTCCGAATGGGTCATGGCATCATCTCAAGGCAATTTGTCCCTTTGGCAATTAAGATGTTATAAGTTCCACTTTTCACCATAAAACCTACCTCACCCACATCCCGGTATATTATTGACCATAGACTTTATCGTTATATTATAGTTAACATTTCTGCTAGCACTCAACACCTAAGGTGATGTAGAGATGTAGATATGTACTATTTTGTTTGAACGTACTTCCCAGGAGCATCGACTTTGCATCAAGAGACAATAATATGACGTTTGTTCAATGATATGAAAGTAAAAAAATATATAACGATATGACAAATTTTATTTTAAATCAAAGCCACGCATGAATGATAATTTTGAAATCGTTTTTTTAACTATTAACAATTAAATGTTTGTACCATCCATGTGATTTTAAACAGGTTAATGCTTAAAATACATGACTTCACTTAGTACAAGACTTCAGGTCTGTAATGTATTATAATTTAGAATGCATGAGAAGTTAAGTTTAACATTAGTTCCAATAGCAGGAAATAAATGTTGTATATAAAAACTCTAAGTTTTTAAATGAACGAGATATTATTATTTGATTACTTCAATAAAAAAAAAACACACAACTAACAGTATATGTTAAAATACTGTAGTAATAAAACTAGATATTCTTAATGCCTTCACAAAATAGTCATATGATCGTTTCAGTATGGCTGCGGAAAATTTTGTTTTCTGGAGTTTTTTGTTTGCTTGCTATATTGTTTACGGCAAAAGCTGCTTATGAAATTTGTTTACATCACTCCATTCATCAATTAACTGGAGACATATAATTATAATTAATTTTATTTGCTTTAAAATCAAATTTTTGCTTGTTTTAATATAAAAATACCTCTATTAAAAGATTGTAGACCTGAACACATTTCTCCGTTTAAGTTCCAGGTTTAAATCAGGGTTTAGGTAGATTTTTGGTTTTCAGCTACAAATATTTAAGTGTTAAAAACTACTAGATACCTAACAAACTACAAAAAGGTGGTAAAATACATGAAAAAGACACAGATTTTGAATTTATATTTATTTACAAAATAATAATAACAAACAGTGTTTTGCACACGTAATGTTACAGCATTAAATAACTTAGCTATGTACAACTATGTTATAAACTAAGGGATACACTAATTTTATTTGAGGTAGACTTATCTTAAAACAAGACTCAAGGAAAGTTTGAGGTCTTTAATCCTTCTCTTTATAGTCAGTGTGCAATTATGAAACTGACGTAAAGTAGTCCCCAGTTTTTCTAAAACTTATATTTTCCCGTGGACTGTAATAGAAATTAGGTATGATTTTTTACATATAGATATTTAAAGCTGTAGAAAAATTACCTTATATCTTTAGTTTTTCTTATATTTTATTTGCTAATTCCACTTTACATTTTTAACCTTGAACAATTTACGTCAATGTGTTTTAGGGGAACAGTGCATTTAAGACTTCTAATATCAATTTAGATAGATAGGGACATTCAATATTAAATATCCCGTACATACTGGTACATTCAAAATCCTGCATTAACTTTGCATATCAAAAATGTTACAAGTAGTAGACAAGGTTTCCCTCCAATGAAGACACGGAATTAAAAGCCACCACCGTATCCTCCAGGATATGTCTGGTATCCTCCGTATCCTGGGGGATATCCTCCAGGTCTGTAGTATCCTCCGGGATTGACAGGATGTCCACCAATGAAAGGACTTCCTCCACCATAGCTGTGCCTGAAGGGGACATTTTTTGTAAATATTGAAAGATTGAAAAAATAGGATGTACCTTAGAACATTATTCTACACACATTTTGATTCTTGAGCTTTTTTTTAATTCTCAAACAAATTCAATAGAGTAACTAATTTTGGTCTTACATACATGTGATACTCCATCATTTTTTAGGAAAATGAATTAGTACTTTCATCGGAATCATAGTTCTTATGTATTGTTTCAATCATATCTGTCCCATAAATTAGCGAAATTTATTATATCCTTTATTGAAAGGAGTTCTCTAGTATATATAAGGGGTCTTCCTGTCTGGAAGACTTAAAATACTATTTTTTTTCCAGTTTTATTTAAGTTAATTCTTGAATGCAATCTTACCTCATTTAAACCTTACAAATTTTGAAAAAAGAAATCAAAATCAAGGTAAGGAAGAAATTAACATCTAACATGTTAACATGTTAAGTTTCAGGGTAAAACTTTTGCAATTTCATTACGACAGTATGCTGATGCACAGAATTATACAGTACTTGATATTATTGTAATATTACGGACGACAATAAAGCAATGTTAAGTATGGTTAATATTTATTTATGTCATTCGTTGTTTTGAGAAAACTTGAACTTTAAATATTTTGTTTACCCATTCCTCGCTGGTTGGCAGACCTTGGCAAGCTTGAAATAAGCTACAGTATTTGCAACACCATCGATAATACTTTAATACTGACTAAGCGTTTACTAAGAAACTTTCTAGTGAAAAACAACTGTGTATGCATGTTTAAAATAAACTTATACAGTAGTATGAGAATGTTTTGAATTGCCAGTTAACATATTTAATAAACTATGTACGTTAAACTACGTACGTTCTTCTTTACTTTTATCCTTAAATTAAATATTACAAATGATACACATTTAAAATTAAACATATTTATACATTAGACTTACACTTTTTTTTATCAATCCGAAAACATATTTACAACACAAAATTTGGCCGTTCTTAAAAACTATAAGCAAATTGTACGTTTTGTTATGATGTTTAATAATATACATACTTTCAAATAATATGAAGTTTTAATTTAAAGTCAATTTTTTTGTTAAAATTAATTTCCATTCTAGCTCCTGAGCTGTTATATTATATTAAATTTTTAAGGATAGTTTGGTTTATTATTTTAACTTATCTGTAAGAGATTTAGTTTTATTCTTGTGCTCATGTTATTTTTATACTTAAAATATGAGTATACAATAATTATTTTAAAACCTTTTAGCTAGGTTGTTTCACATTTGCACGACTCTGTTTTTTCTTCTTCTTTTTTTCTTAAAACTTTCAGTTCGCAAAGCTAGCTCTCAGACCACTCATCTGCCGAGCCAAGAAGGATATGTTTACATGTACTGTATCTTAAATTGCTAATGTCAACAGAATTTAGATGAGGTTGCCAGCAACTGCAACCGGTATAAAAACTCTACCTGTGCATTTACGCACTGAATTTGGACTCTTTCCAACACTCTTCTAGGTTAGTTGATGAATGTACGTTTTTTAATCGGAAATTGGATTCTAAATTCTTGTTTAGCAGATGTTTTCTTAAGTAACTGTAAATCTTGGAATGTAAACTGGCATTCCTATTAGGCTATATGGTTGATTTTACATACGTATTAATAAAATATAATTGCATAATATTACCAAGCACTCATGTTCACTACATGAAGAAAAAAACTCAAATCATACGTAAATGTATTTAGACCACTGAAAGAAACGCTTGCTTTATTTGCACGTTTGCGATTTTACATATTAACATATTTTATGGACGGGTAGCTGTAAAACTGCATGCGTACTATGTATTATATTGAATTGATTGTAAATCTTCATCATATTTTCATAATTACGAAGATTTATGGATACGAAAATAGGAATTACTGGTACCATAGTCACCATAATCTAAGCCCAAGCCATTATTTTGACTGTAAATATTGTTCGAAAGCTTAAAACAAACCACAAAATTACAACATGTGGCATTGCTTGTAGTAGCTAATCTCCGTTCGTAAGCTCTAAACACGTTTTTACTAAACGTGGATGTGGGAGTAATTATTATAAGTTCAAATTCAGAGGAATGTGAGTTGTTATTTTCCATACATATTTTGTATCTGACGAAAACAAATTAGTTTAACACATTTCATGTATATGTTGACAAATTATACCGATGGTTTAAGAATGATAGTGTTTATTCATTACAATGCATAATAATCTCTATCCTACTTTGATAATATAAAAATTATTTTCTTACCAATAAATATATGGCATGATTGGTTTTATTCAATACTTAAAGATGTCATTTTTTTACAGTACCACACTATCCGACGAATAATTTTAACAGATAGAAAAGATATATAAGATGTCCGAGTTTCACAGGTTTGACATGAACATTACAGCAGTTTAGATAACATCGGTTTCGTAATTGTTTCTAATTGATGTTAATTGTTCGGTTGCGCTAATTAGTCGGGATTTTGAGACTTCACACCTTCCCTGACATTGGAACAGACTTACGTGAGAATTCTATTGAAAGAACTTGACCTTCAATATGGGTTAAACTACTATTGCGGGAGGTTGATTTAACCTTAATAACAATTACATATTTTATGATATCTCATTGTATATTTTATTTATCTGCAAGTATTTTAGTATCTGTTCATCAAGCGGGATTTGCTGAAAATATCATAGAGGACATTTCCGTCTCTGATTTCGACTCAGCTTTTACTATTTTTAATTTCATTCATTTAAAAGTATTTGTTTTTCAAATTTTACTATTCCTCCCTAGTGAGTGTACGGTATCGTACTATATCCCGTTAAATCAAATTAAATGTAAACCTTAATCGTACTCTACAGGAGTTTAATAATGGAATTAAATTTACTTTGGTAGCACAAATTTCACACAAAATTGTGTTGGATGGATTGAATTATTTGTTTAGTTGTTAAACTACTACAATCAATTAAGATTCCTGTCAAGTGCACGGTGTGATTTTTAAACAGCTTAGTAAATTGTAGTGGTCATTTTAATATTGACTTGATGTATTGAATCGTGATGTATTTGACAAATATTGCTCTGCAGCATACCTTAATACTTTCTAATTACCAACTGTTAAAGTATGACTAGTGGAATGTCTAAAATGTTACTTACCCGTGTCCATATGGATTGCCCCCGTAGCCCCCGTAGCCCCCGTAACCACCGTAGCCCCCGCCAAGGCCCCCGAACAAGCTGCCCAGCAGACCACCCCCGCCCAGATAATGGGGCGAGGCTCCGTATTTCTTGTGGTTATAGTACTTCTTGATCAAGCCTAGAGTTCTTCCGTCTCCTTCGCCTTCTCCAGAAGACACATCCTCCTGAGAGTGAACTGAAATGACCAGAGCAGCGGCGAGAAATACAAAGAGGACGATCTGTGGAATATGGGAAAAATATGTTAACAAAGTTGTAGAAACGTCAATAGTTGTTGAAATGTCTCAGAGTAACCTGTTTTAGTTACTCTTAATCATAACATAGATCACCGATAAAGTAGTAGATCAATAATAATCTATATGTAACGATATATGGATCGTATTGTTCACTCAACGTTATTTGAGAGGTTAAATAATGCAATAAACCTAGTGATCTCTCTACAGTGTAAAATATAAACCACTAGCTGCTGAAATATGCGTAGAATCAGAAGCAAAAGTCCAGTTAATGTCAAAATCGCTGTGAATTTGATAAAATAAAGCATCTTACACATAAAATAAAATTCAAGAAACAATACTAGCTGCTACATATGCGTAAAATCAGAAGCAATAATCCAGTTTATGTCAATATCGCTGTGAATTTGATAAAGTAAGCATCTTGCACATAAACGAAAATTTAAGAAACAATTAAATATTTTTCGATAGCAAAGAATAGTAAACAATGATTATAAAATAGTAATTTTGTTTATAAAATGTATGTTAAAACGTACAATGTAGGCCCTACACTACGGATAAATGCAGATATTTATCAAACAAATCGAATTCACATTTAGGCCTATGTAAAGAGGACACTGTAGAAAATATTCCTAACATATGTTTTATATACCACAAGCTATAAACATATCTGCAGTCAAGTTTTTTCTTATTCTAAAAGTTTAGGTACAATACTCGTAATCACTTATCAGTAATTATAAATCAATCATTCATGAATGTAAATTTAAAAAAAATGAGTTAAGTTTACCCTAGATCAAAAATCGTAATTGGTTATAATAATCACCAAGAAATTAAAATGTTTTAATTTTTTACCTCAAACATTTTGTGTTCAACAATGGTGAATAATATAGCATGATTGCTACACAAAGTGTTATGGTAAAAAAAACATCGTAAACAAACTGAAAAATGTATTGATTTATCACTCTATTTGCAACAAAACTCAAAATTCCCAACTAAATTTGATAAGTGCTAATTTTTTTTCCAAATATAATTACCCTACGTAAAACATGAAACTACTTGCAATACTCACATGACTGTCCATGGTTGAGATAAGTTGAATATGTCCCTGTTGCACTTGGGGTTCCTTTATATGATAGTTGGGATGACTAAACCAACGCAATGGTTTTTACCCACTGTAAGAGTTATGTAGTCATAAGCCGTATGTGAGCAAGGCCGGAACTCGAGTGGTAAACAGATGGCAAACAGAGTAAATATAGACGTTACTTCCTCTGTACAAACTTATTGAAGGACTTCCTATGAATCGCCAAGGGTCATGATGTGTTTGGGCAATTTGAATAAGTCATTTGGTGAATTGGGAAATCTGTGTTTGTTGATAATAAATAACTATGTACGGATGTAATTATCAAAGATAGCTTTCAGCACTAATTGATATTTTTACACTGTTAAAGTTTTACAGGACGAATATATCGTCACTTAAAGATTAACATTAAGTATCTCCTGAATGTAGCGTTTTGAGAAGTCAAATCAGTAATTTTGTAAATTTAAACCGTATCTATTCAACATCCAATAGTGAATACTTATGGTTCTGGTATATCCTTATAGTAAATACTGGTGAATACTTATATTAGCGGTACTTATGGTATGCGGATGGTAAAATATGTTTTAATACTACTCGATATGATTAGTCTACGCTCATATTTGTTACATGTCGGCAAACATGTGAAAGATGTTACAATTGTTATAAATGTTACTAAGTCACACCATTAAGGCCAGGTTCTAGACCCGGGAGTTAGTTAAAACTTGTAAGAAAGTAAAAAACACCTCTACCTATTGTATTATTAAACTATAGTAAAAAATACAGGCATATGACACATCCAAAGCTCAGAGATTGTATACAGTATTTGCCAGAAATGAACTGTTGAATGGTATGAACTGATTTCCCAAGGGCCCTGCCCCACAGGCCGAGTTACGAAGGGCTACCTTACATGCTTTCGAAGTTGACAACATGTTATTAATTAAATGAACAACAGCTGGTCGATGCAATTAACAGGTGTTAAATTATTTACTTGGAAGAGTTTGTGATAGTTCTTTATCTACATTAAGTAAATTGTGCGTTGGTTGGTTACAGAAAGGTAGGAAAGGCTTTATGGAATCTTGGTAAGGGTTTGTCTTGTAATTTATATAATAGGCAACAGCTAAAACAGAGGCTTGAATAAACTTTGAATGATTTTTGAGCAGAACATATTTTTGATGAAACTTCAAGTACATCAAGTATATTTATTTTTTCTACTGTAGGGTATGTTGTCGGATCTATTGACTACAATTTAAGTAGGGTTTTAAAAGTAGGTGGGTTTACACTTTTAAATTATTTAATTCTATCTTGTCAAATCAAATCATAGAGTCACAGTATTTTTTTAACACATACAGCGTCACTTGTAACTGTAGGTACTGTTGCCAGGACATTAAAACCCCTTATCTAAATGTAAAATAAATAATTTTCTTACTCTAAGTGGTAAAATTAAGTTTCATCTCTAAAATAATAATAAATGTGTAACTAGCTCATAAGCAGATCTAATCGAACACATCATTTTCTTTCGCGTTCCCTTCCCACTTTCGGCAAAACCTAGGGCCAACACAGTCACGACTTTGTGTGTTCAACACTGCAACGCCCTCTTGTAGCTTATTTACAGATTCTTTGAAGTCCAAGGGATTGAGAGGTCCAGCTATATAAACAATGGCATAGGATTATAGGGTGACGAAATCGTGACGGAACAGTTATGGTAAGATCACGTATATCGTGATTAAGTACTTGCGAACTGAGCGAACTGATTAATTGATGTCAAACTTGGTTTGATAATGTTTTAGTCTGGGATGAAGCAAGGTATCTTACATCCATTCGGATCAACTTTTTACCCAGTATTAATTTAAAGGAGGGAACAGTGTTTAATTGTAAATAGCATTACATTCCAGTGTTTATTAACATTTCTAAGAGTTCTTCTGCTTTTGGGAGTTAACAAAACGTGCAAGACCTAAGTTAGAAAAAAGTGCATTGCATTTATTTCTTTTGCATTATATGATTCGATGATTTAGTACTCCATTAGGACTAGGTAAAGTTTACGATGGATTCCAATAATTCAATTAACGTATATTGCTAGGTTGAACAGTTAACTCATCACTGTAATGATAATAGACCACCGGCAGATCATTAACTATTGTATATTAGCAGGCGAAATTTGAAAGCCCTTTACAATTTGTCCGCTGCATCCAGTTAGAGACGTCAAACCTCCAACCATGATTTCTGTAAGTATTATGTACACTTTTGGGAATAATTTTACAATTAAATTAGATAAAAATTGTTTAATCACAATTGCTTATAAAGTATTGGTTTATACTATATTTTTGAAACGTTTTAATCCTTCAACTAACTATTGATTATTATTTGTATTAAAATAATCCAAAAGTGTCTGTTGACAGTGTCTAGATTTACTAAGCGGAATTAGTTAACACAATTTTCATTGTTATAAGAATCTGTAGTACTAATATACTTAATAATGTAAAGTAGCTTGTTTACATGTTTTCAAATACAGTTAAAGTTCAATATCACACGGTGCAATCTTTTGATCAAGAATCGTGTCCACATTCCAATCGTAATCATACTTGACACCATAAAAATATGACGAAAAGTGACGAAAAGTCACGTGAGTTCCGTTATTTGTTACGTTAAACGTGTGCATGAAACAAACTAAAATGTTGTGCCTGCTTTTGTAAACTGATTACCAAAGGCATTTACTGTAAATGAAACGAGTACATTCTGTCTACAGTAGTTTTAGCTCAGATAATGCATTTTAAGATAGACGCATTAGACAGGAATGGGTGTGAATCAATGTGATAGATTTGGTAATTTAGTAGCCTCATGCTGAGATCAAGTTAAATTTGCCAGGCTTTCCATCATTGTATTAAATTTTAGTAAAGTGTTGACTGCTATGTTAATATTTAAGCAGTTGCCGCTTTCATCTCTTGATCTGATTACCAAATAGCTCGTACGGGTATGCCCAAGCTCATGTGTATCTTAAAATGAATTTTTTGAGCTAAAACTGATGTAGATAGAATGTACTCGTTTCATTTACAAAATATGTCTTTGGTAATCAGTTTACAACTATAGGCTGGCAACTGTTCATTTTCTAGTACCATCCTGTCCTGTTTTAAAATAAAACAACCAGTTGTTGAGTTAACTTCGGGAATAATTTTAATCGGAATATTCATCTTACTTAATTTGTACATTTGGCTAAAATGGATGTTATTAAAAAAATAATTAAAAAAAACATAAAACACCCGGGAAGCTGGTTGCTTTTTTTTCTTCCCCTACTAAACAGTGAATTGATGGTTTGATCCTGAGAAAAGTCAATAGAATTCGATTACTCAAATTTCTACCCAACTCTCCTTCATCGTTATGCTTTTAATTTGGATTCTGGCTTAAAAGACTGCTGGTCTTAGTAACAATAGTTTTCATCTCATCCTTTCAACAAATGTCCTTCAGCCTTTACCTTAAAACACGTACCTCGGTGTTTTTGTGTTGTAAAAATTGGGTCTAATGTATTTAACTGATTTCACTCTATTTCTTTACAGTCTCGCAGTCTTCTTCTTCTAGCAGCACTCCTGGGTGCGGCAGCGGCTGCTAGCAGTCACGCACCCAACAGATGGGGTCTCATGCAAACTCAGAGACCCACCACTCCAGCCCCGACTACACCGCCTCCCATGGCAGCTCCTGCCCAGAATACGACAGGGGAAATGCAGCAGATGATGACTCAAATGATGGGGATTCTGCTGCCCAAGATCCAAGCCAAGGTGACAGTGTTGCTAGGCAACGTGGGACGGGCGATAGCTGGAGCTATGTTCGCCACGTTTAGAACAGGTTGGTTATTTGAAATGTGGAAATCTAAGACATTGATTACTAATTTAACCAAATTTCTAATAAAACATAAAGTTTTAACGCTGTGTATGATGTTTTTATTAGTCGGTGCAGAATAGAAATTGTATGCATTGTAAACAAGAATGACTTTACTGGCGTTTATACTAAAAAAAAATATAATTTGACACCCAAAATATAAACAGTACGAATATGGTTTTAAATTCGATCCAATTACGATATTTTTTATGTTTTTTTCATGCCTACAATCTTTTCTATATTTGGATAGTGCCGCACCACCAGGTACTAACTCCCCTGCAATAGTCAGCAGATACAAGACGTATAAAAATAAATAAATAATTAACGCGTGAAAGACTTTTTACCAATTACATTAGTTTCACGTATATGCTCTTTTGTAAATATGTATAATGGAACCATAAATTTATATTTCATATCTTATTCGCAATTCGCTGTCACATAAATAAATGAAATTATAAAGTTTTATTACGTGACAACTATTTATTTATTCCATGAGCAGCAATAACATTTCAACAACCTATGTATTTATTTTGATCCTTATGAGTTAATAAAATAATGTTGTTAATACTAAACAATCGTTCATCTACAGTTTTTTCTCGGCCATTAAAAATGTGTACTGCATATTGTAGGCATTGCAAATGCCATAAACTTGTATGGTGAATTTCAGTCACCAATGACCCCATACCGTACCTACTGAGTAAAGTTGTATCTATATATTATATCTATATTCAGTATTTTTATTTGAAGAAATCGTAGTTTTTTACTCCCAAAAAATAAATAAAACATTAGTTTTTAATTCAGTCACTCTGCACTGTTATGATACCAGTGTATTGTAGGATTCAATGGCATCGCTAAACTATTGGACTCAATAATAACTGTCCTTATATTGTCTCCTTTTTACCATTGTTCTTTGAATTCCAGGTTTCAAAGTCCGCTTGACAGCTACCTTCGCCCCGCTGGACGCAGATTCCAAGTTTCCCTCCGCTGACCTTGAGGGCCATCCCCCAGGCTATATTATGCCAGGGTTCGCCGAAGAAGAGGTCCTCAGATTTCAAGAACCTTCTGCTGACGACGCTCAAATCACTGAGAGGCAGCTTAGTTAGTCAAATTCAGCCTGGTTATTAACTCGATTGTAAAGATATGTAAAGTATTTATTTATTAAATTATTTATTCAAATTTACGTATATTTCTTACTTTTACAACAACTTATAAAAAAGCCTTATTACCAATTTCACAACTTGTTCTAAAGGCTTGATACTAGT